TACACACACACAAGCGAGGTCTCAGTACTTTGACATGATTTGCCAATAGAGTTCCTTTGGAGCTGCACAACAAGGGAACATAAAAGTCAGCTTCTTTTGTTTAGTTTTATGGAACTGAGAAATGAATTTTGTTCGGTATGAGTCACTTACCTGGCAAACCGGTGAAAATCTCAAATTGCTCGTAAGCCTGCCTCACAAACATCTCTGAGCCTGACACAGTTATGGCTCCGCATTCTTCTGCTTCCCGTAACAGTCTGGTGATTCTTGGAGTATAAACAGCATCAAAGACCAGTGCATGGTGCTTCAATGCATGCTGGCGAAACAGAGAGAAGCTAGGTTACGCATTTGTCTTATAGATTTAAATATTTTGCAGGAGACAAGACCAGGTTTTGTTCATTACATAACAGAAAGGAATAGAACGGCTCCTTTGTTACTGATGGAAAGCAAAATGAAAGAGCTGTTACAAGGAGAGTTTACCTTGGAAATGGGAGTCTCCTCGACATTTGGTTGCATACCCATAGATGTGGTGTTGGCCAAAACCATGCCATCTTCTGGGTGAAAATCATCTAAATCCGTCAGAGATAACGCTCTGCCTCCAATTGCTTCTGCGAGTTCTTGTGCTCGTTCTTCAAAAACACATCAAGAACAAAAAAAACCATATCATTAGTTACTACTGCCTACATAACAACCAAAAAGAGATGAAGAGTATTGTTAAAGCCGAACATGACCAGTGATAGAATATTTAAAGTTTTCGCTCGTAAAGCAAAGGTTACCAATTTAAGACATGTATTTTACCGTAAGTTCGATTAGCGATTACAACTTTGGCCCCCTTTTCTTTTGCACCAAAAGCAAGTGCCTTGCCTGCTCCACCAGCACCAATAACCACCACTGTTTTACCAGATAATGGCGAAGAAGAAGAAGGTACACTGCTTGGATCACCTGAGCCTGAAAAAAAACAAAGGAAAAGGCTTCATGGCGAAAAAACCAAAACTTCTCCATGCCGAGCAACAACAGATGTGAGCATAGAACTTACTTCGTAGGCCATCCTCAATAGCAGAAATAGAACCAATACAATCTGTGTTGTAACCCAACAACTTTCCGTCGCTTTGTCTCCTAAGTATAGTGTTCACAGCTCCTATAGACTGCAAAAGATAATAAATCAAACATTAAAGGTGAAGAAGGATTGCGATTTACTCTCTATCTGATAGTGATTGGGGTCACTATCAGTATTATCTGGTGGGTACTAGCAAAGCAGACCTTTGCCAATGGATCAACCTCATCACAGCATTGTAACGCAGCTTCTTTGTGAGGAATTGTACAGCTGCAGGTAAAACAGATATACATTATTCACCCAAAAATTATGTTCATTACTTCGGAATATTATATTCTGGAGACAAACTTATTAGTCACCTGAATCCAGCGAAATCAGAGGATGAGTATGCTTGGAGAAAGCTAGCAAGATCATCAACTAACAGGTGGACATATACTCCATTAAAATCAACTGATTTGAAAGCTTGATTGTGAACAATAGGTGATTTGCTGTGACTGACAGGCTTGCCGATAATTCCATACACCTTAGTGTCAGGACCAATTCTTCTAAAGTTGTATAGATCCAACAGATCCTTGATCGTTGGTTGACCAGGCGCAGAAACTTTTCCAGATTCTAAGGTACCAAAGGTCAAATATCCACCAAATTTCGAACAAAGAATTCGAGACATTAGACCTCTTTCACCCATAACAAGTCCAATTGTGGGAACCTGAAATTTGAGGGAGAAAAAGCTCAAACAGTGACACCAGATAATCACATTCAGAGATCAACAAACGCTTGACTTGACTAAATGCTAGCACGCATGGCACTCACTTGAGCATTTGAGGTTATATGGAACATGCGGGCAACATCTGTGATGTCCACAGCAGTAGTAGCAATTTTTACTATATCGGCACCAGCCTGTTGTATTCTTACAGCAAGGTCATTGAGATCCTCAACGGAAGGGGTACTCTGATAGTTGTGCGACGAAACAATTACTTTACAATTCCCAGGCTTCTTTCCGTTAATCGATTTGATGAACTCACTTGCAACCTTAAACATACAAAATCAAGTAGGAGGAAACTAATTAGCATCAAAACACCTTCTAAATACCCAAAATTCTTCAGTTTTTAATGATCTTAACCTGAAGTTCAACATCAATGTAATCAGCTCCCAGTTCCATGGCCAAACGGAGCACATCTAGCCGCTCGTTCTCATCGCCTTCATATTGACCACCTTCCCATTTGGGTCTAGAGAACAGTCATCACACAAACAGTAACATTACTAACACTGCAGGATCGACACAAGCGAGAACAAAACAATTCCATATCAAACACTTAGAAAAAAGTCCCAAGCTTGAATATACAAACCTGTAGGTGAATAGAGTGGGAAGTGGGGATTTCTTTATAACGGTATTCAGATCCTCTTGAGGGTTGAATTCCTTTAGACTATCTAATCGAATTTCCACCAAATCTGCACCCAATTCCTGGGCTTTGCACGTTTCAATCACCATCTTGTCTATTGAATCAGCCATCACTGGAGCACAGATCAAACTCGGATTCTTCGCAATTACTTCACTTCCGATCTCAATTTCCGTTGAATTTGAAGCCACCTAAGGTCACAGGACAAGATATAATTCCACAATCGTCTCTTCAGCTATAGTATCAAATCCAACAAAGATTCTGACTATCGATTAAGGAGAAGAATAAACAGATTGCCGAATACGGAACAGAACCGAAAAACAAGTACAGGAAGAATCACTGACATAGACATTGATAGGTTCCATGCTTCGACGGCGACGTTGGTCGGAGAATACTACCGGAACCGGCACACTCCTGGGTTGCAGGGAGGAAAAATCGGCGGAGAGGACGGACGAGTTGAAGCGGAGAGAGAAATCGGCGGCCGGAAAACGGAGGTTGGCGACGGAGGTTGGTGATAGTCGTCGTGGGTTTGAGAGTAGACGAGCAGAGTTGGTGAGACGAGCATTAGTTGAAGAAGAAGCCATTGAGGCGTCAAACAAAAACTTTTTCTTTTGCAAATTCTAAATTTTGGTAATTTATCGCATTTTTATACGCTAAAAATGGTAGGTGGCTAAATATTTTATTCTTATAAATTTTGTTGTATTATGTCATAACGAAATGAATATCTTTAACATGTCGTA